TCATCTGTTGTCAAACATATTAAAAGTTACATTTTTCATATTTATTCACACAAGAAATGCTTCAGCACAACAGTTTCCGAAAATGAAATTGAGCAGTATGTTTTTCTTCTGTTGAGTTTAAGCAATGTATGAGTTACACCTACCATTATATTTGTAAATTTGTAAATTCATTCTCATGAGCCAATGGAAATAGTCAGAATATCAAGTTAGGAACTGTCACAAGAGGATGTGGTAAATGAGGATGTTGTATACGTTGTTACTTTTAGTAAACATAAAGTTTCTAATACTCAGTGTTATCACTCTACAGGCTTATGTTGGTTACTATGGTGATGATGTATTACCCAGACATCTCTCTGCCATAGCAACAGGTAATTGGGGATGTGGTGCATTTCGTGGTGATCCAAGACTGAAAGGTAAATAGATAAATTTATTAAATAGTAAATAAATTTTATTGTACTTGAATTTATCCAAGCCATGGCAATTAAGATTCAATTTTTTAGATGTGTAGACTATTTGTGGTTTGTGTGTCATGTGGGATTTTAGGTAATAATTATCCACAATTTTTGTCTTATTTCATAATTGGTATCCATATTTGACAACAAATGTTTGTTAACGTTACAGGGCCCTGGTCGTCACGCTGCGCATGTGCGTCATTTGTGTTGACAAACATTGATTTTCCCACAATCCAACTCTTCCACTTCCCACTTTTCTAATGAAATCACCTGGGCGTCACTTTCACTAATTACTGCTGGCGACTTCTTCGATATTTTTCAATTACCAAAAAATTACCTAATTTGTCCCCGTTCGGACGAAGTCCGAAAACGGGGACTTATAATTCGGTCTCCGTCTGTCCGTGCCTCCGTCCGGAGTCATATCTCAGAATCCCTTGGACCGATTCCGTTCATTCTTTGCATGTGCCTAGTACTTTATGTGGGACATATGCACATGCAGTGGTTTAGCGATTCGATTCAAAATGGCCGACTGGCAGCAATCTTGTTTTTTGAAATGTTGTATTTTGGACATGCTTTGTCAGTTTTCATTCAACTTGGTACATAGATTATACATGTCAGGATACAT